GGTGAAGACATGAGCAATGGGAACATTATATGTTGCTAGTTGAAGAGTATGCATGTGTATATATGTGTGCGTACATGTATATGTGTGTGTGTATATCTGCATATATATCATTATTTTAGAGACAGGGTCTCACTCTGTCACCTAGGCTGGAGTACAGCGGCATAATCATGGTTCACTGCAGCCTTGAGCTCCTGCTGGGGTCAAGCGATCTTTCCACCCAAGCAGCTGTGATTACAGGCATGTGTCACAATGCCCAGCTAATTTTTTAAAATTTTTTTGTAGAGATGAGGTCTTGCTATGTTGCCCAGGCTGGTCTTAAACTCATGGCTTTATGTAATCCTCCCACCTCAGGCTCCCAAAGTGCTGGGATTACAGATGTGACCCATCATGCCTGGCTTGAAGAGAATATTGGTAAAACATTCTGGAAAACAATTTGGCATTATTTAGAGAAGATGATGGTATTCTTTATGACTCAGTAATCCTACCACTAGTATGTAGTACAGAGAGACTCATTCTCATATGCATAATAGTATTAGTTGTAATAGCAAAAACCTGGAAACAGTGCAAATGTCCATTGATAATAGGTTCTAAAGTAGATAAGTACATTGTGGAATATGCACATGATGTATGGGTGAAAGTGAAAGAATTGCAGTTAGATAACCACAGAATTGAATGTAAAGAACCTAATGCTGGCCGGGCGCGGTGGCTCACGCCTGTAATCCCAGCACTTTGGGAGGCCGAGGCAGGTAGATCATGAGGTCAAGAGATCGAGACCATCCTGGTCAACATGGTGAAACCCCGTCTCTACTAAAAATACAAAAAATCAGCTGAGCATGGTGGCGCACGCCTGTAATCCCAGCTACTCAGGAGGCTGAGGCAGGAGAATTGCCTGAACCCAGGAGGCAGAGGTTGTGGTGAGCCGAGATCGCACCACTGCACTCCGGCCTGGGTAACAAGAGCAAAACTCCATCTCAAAACAAAAACAAAAACAAAAAAACTAATGCTGAATAAAAACCAAGAACCAGCTGCAAGAGAGAATTCATCATATGATTCCATTTTTATAAAGCTCATGTAATGAGTAATCTTATGTGTCAACCTGACTGGGCTAAGGGATATCCAGATGGCTGGTAATCACAACTGCTGGGAGTATCTGTGAGGGTGTTTCTATAAGAGATGTGCCTTGGAATCAGGAGAATGAGCAAAGAAGATTGTTCTCACCACTGTAAGTGGGCATCATCTAATCTGTTGAGGTCCCATTACAACAGAAAAGTAGAAGAAGGACAAATTCTGTCCTCTTGAGCTGGGACCATCTTCTCTTGTCCCCGGACATCAACACTGCTGGGTCTCAAGCCTTCAGACTCAGACTGAATCACACTATCAGCTTTTCTTGTTTCTCCAGCTTGCAGATGGCAGACTATGGGACTTCTCAGCCTCCATAATTACGTGAGCCAATTCCTAAAAACCTCTCTCTTTTTTTCTCTCATTCTCCTGGTAGTTCTGTTTCTCTGGAGAACCCTAATACGGTTCAAAAACATGAAAAACTAAAAAAGATATTGTTTAGAGCAGTGGTGTATAATAGAACTCTTCACAATAGTGGAAATATTCTACAACTATGCTGTCCAGTATGGTAAAAAGTGATATGTGGCTCTTGATCACTTAAAATATGGCTAATGTGGCTGAAGAACTGAATCTTAATTTAAATTTGAACTTAAATTGTCACATGTGGTGAGTGGCTACCATACTGTATGGCAAGGTCTATAGAGAGAATAAGTGAAATAACAAACACAAAATCCAGAATATTGGTTACTTCTGAAAGAAAAATAAAAGCAGAATGAGGGAGGGATACACAGGGGATTTCAAAAGCAACAATAATGTTCTTTTTCTTTCTTTCTTTTTTTTTTTTTTTGGATGGGGTTTCACTATGTTGGCCAGACTGGTCTTGAACTTCTCACCCCGTGATCCACCCGCCTTGGCCTCCCAAAGTGCTAGGATTATAGGTGTGGGCCACTGCGCCTGGAAAAATTAGGTGTGGGCCACTGCGCCTGGAAAAACGTACTTTTTCTTAAATGCGTATTCTTGTACTGTTATTCTTTAAACTGAACATATATTTTATAAATATCCTTTTATATGTATTAGATATTTAGTAGGACAAACATAATGAATGGGGTGGTGTATACATGAATGTTTGTATTATTATTACTTAAATTCTGTGTAATAAAATAGTTTTATTTTAAAAATGGCTAATACTCAGCTATGGCCCAAGTGGGAAGATAAAACTTCCCCAAAGCCCTGGCCCTGGGCTCTGGATACTAAAGCCCTCATCCTCCATCACCATGGCTCTCAAGCTTTCACTTGGAAAGGAGAGGGAGGATATTTTGTTTTGAGGCTTACTTAATTTTATCTAAAAATTTTTAATAAGGTCAGGTGTAGTGACTCATGCCTATAATCCCCATACTTTGGGAGGCTGAGGCAGGCTGATCGCTTGACTCGGTTCGAGACCAGCCTGGGCAACACAGTGAAACTCTACCTCTACACAAATATACCAAAAAAAAAAAAAAAAAAAAATTATCCAGGTAAAGTAGCAACACCTGTAGTCCCAGCTACTTGGGAGGCTGAGGCAGGAGAATCACTTGAGCCTGGGAGGCAGAGGTTACAGTGAGCTGAGATCATGCCATTGCACTACTACAGCCTCAGTGACAGTGAGACCCTGTCTGAAAAAGAAAAATTAATGGGATGAAGTAGGTTAAGCTAAGAGAGCTTCTGTGTACAGAAGTCTATGTACAAGGTCTCTTTTTGTAGGTTGAGAAATAAAATCCAGCTTCTATTCTTAAAACTTAACAAAAACCAACAACATTTTTAAAAAAAACAAAGAGGGGAATAAAAGATAAGGAAGTAGGCCGGGTGCAGTGGCTCACACCTGTAATCCCAATACTTTGGGAGGCCAAGATATATGGATTGCTTCAGGCCAGGCGTTCAAGACCAGCCTGTGCCATGTAGACTTTGTCTCTACTAAAACAAACAAAAAAAGTTGGGCTGGGCGTGGTGGCTCACACCTGTAATCCAAGCACTTTGGAAGCCAAGGCGGGTGGATCACCTGAGGTTGGGAGTTCAAGACCAGCCTGACCAACATGGTGAAACCCCATCTTGAAAAGAAATTAAAAAATAAAAAATAAAAAGTAAAAAAAAAGTTGAGGAAAAGGAAAGTAGAAACTGTAATTGTAAACAACTTTTTGGGTGAAATTTTGCTATAGAGGGAAGCAGGGGATATAGAGGCAATTGAAGACTTTTCAAAGGTGGGAGAAACCAGATGTATTATCTGTTGCTGCATAACAAATTATCCCAAAATGCAGCGGCTTAAAGCAACAAAAATTTATCTTACATTTTCTGTGGGTCAGAACTTTTGAGTGTAGTTTCACAGGGTATCTCTGACTTTGTCTCTCATGAGGTTGCAGTTAGGGTGTCAGCCAGAACTGTGGTCTCATCTCAAGGTGTGATCAGGGAACATCTGCCTCTAAGCAGATCATGCGGTGTTGCATGACTCAGCTCTTAGTGGCTGTTCAACTGAGGACTTCAGTTCCTCAATGGCTCTTGCTGGCAGCCTTTCCACAGGGCCACAGGGCAGCTTATAGCATGGCAACAGCTTTACCTCAGAGCAACAGGGCTGGAGAGAGTGCTTAGGACAGAAATCACTATCTTTTTATAACCCAGTCTTGAGCATGGTAGCTCGTTACCTCTAGTAACTCTGTTTACTAGAAGTGAGTCATGAAATCCAGCCGACACTGAAGGAGAGGGAACTGACTAAGGATGTGAATACAGGAGACAGGGTTCATTGGCGGGTATTTTGGAGGCTGCCTGCACCAGAGGGTATTTGTCTATGTTTACAAAGGCATACACAATCTGATTACATTTCTCACACACAGAAACACACACACCCCAACTATGTTTCCTCCACTTTCTAATGTCACCTTCCACTAAACTATCTGGGGAAAAGGACTTTGTTTCTTGTTAGCCCATAGAGATCAGCTCATGCTGCAGCTTGTGTCTCCAGTATCACCTCCTCCACCCTCCCGATTCTGGCACAGCTCTAAGCCTCTGCTCGCTTTCCCACATGCCACCATGAGTAAGTCCCAAACTAATGTGCTCCTTTTTTCTAATGCTGCCAACCGCACCAGCCTCAGAAGATGGTATGAGCAAGGCGGCTGTCCTTTTACTGACCTCTACATTAATTCTCCACCACCTCACCAACTTCCCACAGCCCACATGGTCTTATTACTGAAGGTGTTGGGGTAACAAAGGCCAAGTTCAGTAGAGGTCAAGATAGGAGTGACAGAACAATTTAAAGCTGAACATTAGGCATCACTCTTAAAACTCTTGGGTTATGTTAGAGAAAACTTATTCAGTGATACTCATTACAGCAAGGCAGACTTTATTCAGGACCATGGGATAGGGACAGGGACCACGGCAATGGGATTTTGTAGTGGGTAGAGGGACTGGGCTAAAATCCAAACACAGCAAGGGCAAGAGAGAATTTGCAGCCAAGGAGCAGGGTAAGGGTGTCAGTGGACTGAAAATTACTAAGAGGTGGCATCAGGAGTAATGGGATTCTGGCTAACCGACCTAACAGGATTCTTGCTGGACAGGTGATCAGACAACACCTGGGGTACCGTGGTGGATGAGGAACCCTATCAGACCTTGAGAGTGAGGAGATTCCTTTCTTCCTTCCTTCCTTTCTTTCTCTCTCTCTCTCTCTCTCCCCCCCTTCTCTCTTTCCTTCTTTTATTTTTCTTTTGTCCTTTCTTTTCTTTTTCCTTCTTTTATTTTGAGACAGTTTCACTCTTGTTGCCCAAGCTGGAGTGCAATGATGCAAAGTCGGCTCACTGCAACCTCCGACTCCTGGGTTCAAGCGATTCTCCTGCCTCAGCCTCCCGGGTAGCTGGGATTACAGGCATGCACCACCATGCCTGGCTAATTTTGTATTTTTAGTTGAGATGGGTTTCTCCATGTGGGTCAGGCTGGTCTCGATATCCCAACCTCAGCTTCCCAAAGTGCTGTGACTACAGGCGTGAGCCGCTGCGCCCGGCCCAGATGGGTTCTTCCTAAACTGACCTACTCCCCGCACTTTACCCGCACCCCCCGCCCCGCCCTGCCTGCACTGGTTCCCCCTCTTCGCCCCCAGGACGTGCACCCCACGTGCCGAGGGCGGGTGGGAAGTATCTGCCGCCATCTTGCTCACCAGCCTTCAAAATGCGGCTGGGGCTCCTGAGTGCAGCGCTATTGTTTGTGGGGAGCTCTCACTTATACTCAAACCCCGACTCGCCCTCCGGGAAGCCCAGTCTCGGCCCCTCGGTGGAACCGGCCGCTGGTTCCCAGCAGGCTGAAGCCTCCCGCGAGAGGCCCTGGCGGCGGAGGGAAGGAGGGGCGCACACAAAGGGCAGTACCTGTTCGCGCCAGTCTCTGGGCGGCATCTCTTGCCTTTCCCCACCGCTACAGTCTTTGAATTTGGGTTCCTCCTTTTCTGTTGTCCCAACCGCCTTTAACCAAAATTTTACATACCTAAACCGTTTCTAGACCCGTTATAACAGTAGTCCTAACAGTAAAAGGGCACATTTGTATTGTGAATCTGTATTTTCTCCTCAAAACATTCTGGGGTTTATCACCCCCATTTTATAGATTAATAAGTCACGGGATAAAGAGTTGAAAGGGAGGGCTATTAGGTGACCATTTCATGCTACAGGAGAGAAAAATTAGCCCAGCAAGTGAAACGGTGAGCATTAGAATTTGCAGCTCTCGACTCACCGTTCCCAGGCTCTTTAACTGCTGATTCACACAAGGAAGAATGTGATACGTGGCCAGAAAAATTTATGTTTTTGGGGACTAGAGTTTTAAAATCAATGAACTGTGTTGACTTCATGTCTGTTTCTAAGTATGGCATATTTATTTGTCTTGACCCTCCAAGTTTCTTTCAAAATATGGGCATGCCTCTGGTTTGTTAGCTTGCTTAATGTTTTTTTAGATAGGAATTTAAAGGATTACATTAATATGTTCATGTTAGGAAGTAACATATAATATAGATGCTCAGTCCAAATAACGTATCATTTTTATTTTTAGACTGTGGAACGGCACCACTTAAGGATGCGCTGCAAGGGTCTCGGATTATAGGGGGCACAGAAGCTCAAGCTGGCACATGGCCTTGGGTGGTGAGCCTGCAGGTGAAACATGGCCACGTTCTTTCTCATGTATGTGGGGGAACCCTAGTGAGAGAGAGGTGGGTCCTCACAGCTGCCCACTGCACTAAAGACGCTAGGTACGTATTCAGAACACAACCATTTTATTCTCTTAGGGGACAGTTTGAAGTGATAGAGGACCATTTAACTTCAGCTATTCTCAGTTAAGCTATGTTTGCAAATAGCCATAATGCCTTGTACATAGTACATTGTATTTGTTGAAAGAAGTCCTTTATTTTTTACTTTTTTTTTTTTGAGATGGAGTGTCGCTCTGTTGCCCAGGCTGGAGTGCAGTGGTGCAGTCTCAGCTCACTGCAATCTCTGCCTCTTGGGTTCAAGTGATTCTCCTGCCTCAGCCTCCTGAGTAGCTGGGATTACAGGCACCTGCCACCAGGCCCGGCTAATTTTTGCATTTTTAATAGAGACAAGGTTTTGTTATATTAGCCAGGCTGGTCTCAAACTCCTGACCTCAGGTAATCCACCAGCCTCCGCCTTCCAAAGTGCTTGGATTACAGGTATGAGCCACCACCGCCTGCCCTCTATCATGCTATACTCTTTCCTAGAGCTGTCTAGTCTACCTCTGTTTCGGCAATCACCACATGCTGTCAAATCCTAGGTCTTTCCTGATGAGTCATATTTCCAGCTCCCTCCAATGCATATATATTGGAGTCACATTCTTTTTTTTTTTTTGAGATGGAGTTTCGCTCTTGTCACCCAGGCTGGAGTGCAATGGCACGATCTCGGCTCACCGCAACCTCCGCCTCCCGGGTTCAGGCAATTCTCCTGCCTCAGCCTCCCGAGTAGCTGGGATTACAGGCACGGGCCACCATGCCCAGCTAATTTTTTGTATTTTTAGTAGAAACAGGGTTTCACCATGTTGACCAGGATGGTCTTGATCTCTTGACCTCGTGATCCTCCCGCCTCAGCCTCCCAAAGTGCTGGGATTACAGGCTTGAGCCACCGCGCCCGGCCTGGAGTCCCATTCTAAATAAGTCCCAAACAGAATTTACTTTCCTCTGATACTGTTTCTTCTCTATTTTCTCAGTTAATACCATCATCAACAGTTCCATTACCCAGAGAGTTATCTGACTTCTCCCAGTTCACCTCTCCAGGTGGTCCCCAAGGCCTGTGAAGGCTCTCTGTACAGTATCTTAAATTTGCTTCTTCTGTCCTTAACCCTCCCTACTGATTAAAAGTAGATCCAGAGTATCAGTCCCCATATCCCTAGCTTATGACTTACCATACTTATATTTACTACTATGATGATAACTGTCCTAATGAATGTGAAATGGTAGCTCATTGTGGCTTCTCTCTCAATTTCCCAAATTACTAGTGATGTTAAGCATTTTCTGTGCGCTTATTGGCCATTTGTATATCTTCTTTGGAGAAATGTCTATTCAAGTCCTTTGTCCATTTTAGGACTGGGCTCTTTGCTTTTTTGTTGAGTTGTAGGAGTTCTTTATGTATTCTGGATATTAATCTGTCGTCAGACACATGACTTGCAAATATTTTCTCCCATTCTGTGGGTCATCTTTTCACTCTCTTCATAGGGTCCTTTGATACACAAAAGCTTTTAATTTTGATGAAGTCAAATGTATCTATTTTTCCTTTTGTCGCCTGTGTTTCTGGTGTAATATGAAGAAATCATCATATCAAATCCAGTATCAGGAAGCTTTTCCCCTGTGTTTTCTTCTAAGAGTTTATAGCTTTAGCTCTTAGATTTAGATCTGTGATCCATTTTGAGTCAATTTTTGCATAAGGTATCAGGTAAGTATATGTCATTGTTTTACATGTGGCTATCCAGTTTTTCCCAGCACTTTCTGTTGAAAAGTTTGTCCTTTCCCCATTGGATGGTATTGGTACCCTCATTGAAAATCAGTTGATCATATATGAGCGGGTGTGTTTCTGGGCTCTCAGTTCTTTACCATTGATGTATAGATCTGTCCTTATGCTTGTATCACACTGCTTGGATTAGTATGGCTCTGTAGGAAGTATTTTTTGTTGGTGGTTTTTTTTGTGTGTTTTTTTTTAGACACAGTCTCGTTTTATCTCCCAGGCTGGCAGGCAGTGGCACAATCTCAGCTCACTGCAACCTCTACCTCCCAGGCTCAGGTGATCCTCCCACCTCAGCCTATTGAAAAGCTGGGACTACAGGTGTGCACCACCATGTCTGACTAATTTTTGTATTTTTTTTTTTGTAGAGACGGGGTTTCACTATGTTGCCTAGGCTGGTCTGAAACTCCTGGGCTGAAGTGATCTGCCTGTTTGGCCTCCCAAAGTGGTGGGATTGCAGGTGTGAGCCACTGGGAATGGAAATTAGTTCAGCCCCTGTGGAAACCAGTTTGGAGATTTCTCAGAGAACTTAAAAACAGAACTATCGTTTGACCCAGCAATCCCATTACTGAATATATACCTGAAGAAATATAAATAATTTTACCGTAAAGACACATGCATGCATATGTTCATCACTGCACTATTCACAGTAGCAAAGACATGGAATCAACCTAGATGCTCATCAGTGGACTGGATAAAGAAAATGTGGTACACAGATACCATGGAATACTATGCAGTCATAAAAAAGAATGAAATCATGTCCTTTGTAGCAATATAGCTGGAGCTAGAGGTCGTTATTCAAAGCAAATTAATACGGGAACAGAAAACCAAATATTGCTTGCTATCTCCTATAAGCGGGAGCCAAACACTGAGTACACGTGGACATGAAGTAGGGAATAACAGACACTGGGGCCTACTTGAGGGGAGGGGAGGGGGACTGAGAAACTACCTATTGGGAACTGTGCTCATTACATGGGTGGTGAAATCATCTGCACACCAAACCCCTACCACACAGTTTGCCCATGTAACAAACCAGCACATGTACCTCCGAACGTACCATGGCAGTTAGGGAGAAAATATAAATAAAAGTGTTGGCACCTCCCCACTTGCCATCTCGCTCCTTCTCATCATGCGATGCTCCTGCTCTCCTTTCTCCTTCCATCATGATGTAAGCTCCCCGAAGCCCTCCCCACAAGCAGTGCCAGCACCATGGTTTCTGTGCAGCCTGCACAATGTCAGCCAATTAAACCTCTTTTCTTTATAAATTACCAGTTTCACCATGTTGGTAAGGCTGGTCTTGAACTCCTGACCTCGTGATCCACCCACCTTGGCCTCCCAAGTGCTGGGATTACAGGCGTGAGCCACGGCACCTGACCCAAATATTTATTTATAACAAAGAAAGAATGGCCAAATACATATGAATGTACCACTGTTTGTTAATCCATCTACTACTTGAAGGACATTTAAGTTGTTTCCAGTTTGGTCAATTATGACTAAAGCCACTATAAACATTTCTGTGCATCTAGGTTTTCTCTTCATTTGTGTAAATACCCAAGAGTGAGACTACCTTATCAAATGGTAAGAGTATGTGCAATCTTATATTTAAAAAAATAAAGAAGTAGAACTTTTTTTTTCTTTTGAGATGGAGTTTCGCTTTTGCCGAGGCTGGAGTGCAGTGGCACAATCTCGGCTCACTGCAACCTCTGCCTCCTGGGTTCAAGCGATTCTCCTGTCTCAGCCTCCCCAGTAGCTGGGATTAAAGGCACCTGCCACCATGCTCAGCTAATTTTTGTATTTTTAGTAGAGACAGGGTTTCACCATGTTGGCCAGGCTGGTCTCAAACTCCTGACTTCGTGATCCACCCCACTTGGCCTCCCGCAGTGCTGAGATTATAGGCATGAGCCACTGCTCCCGGCATTTTTTTTTTTTTAAGACAGGGTCTCACTCTATTCTTCAGGCTTGAGTGCAGTGGTACGATCATGGCTCACTGCAGCCTCACCCTCCTGAGCTCAAGCAATCCTCCCACCTCAGCCTCCAGTAGGTGGTACTACAGGCACATGCCACCACACCCAGCTAATTTTTGTATTTTTTTAGAGACAGAGTTTCGCCATGTTGCCCAGGGTGGTCTTGAACTTCTGGGCACAAGCAATCTGCCTGCCTCGGCCTCCCAAAGTATTGAGATTACAGGCATGAGCCACCATGCCCAGCCTAGAACATATTTAATGTAAGCAAATGAGAAAACAAATAATTTTTCTCATATTATTATACTTCCTAGAAATAATAGCTATTAATTTTTTGTTACGTAGTCTTCTAGATTTTTCTAGCCAAATTATTTTATATAACAGACTCCTATATCTAAACTGTGAAGTAGCCTTTTTTTTTTTTTTTTTTGAGACAGAGTCTTGCTCTGTTGCCAGGCTCCAGGCTGGAGTGCAGTGGTGCAATCTCGGCTCACTGCAACCTCTGCCTTCCGGGTTCAAGCAATTCTCCTTCCTCAGCCTTCTGGGTAGCTGGGATTACAGGCGCACGCCACCATGCCCAGCACCTTTTTTATTAAATTATATAACATGAGCATTTTTCCATGTCAACATATGTTGCTTCTGTTTTCCACTTTGTAGATGTGCCAAGATTTCTGTGGAAATATTTTTATAGCTAAATTTTTGTGTTCATCTTTTATTTCCTTGGGGTAAATTCTAGGAAGTAGAACTGCAGAGTCAAATGCAATGCAGCTTTTTTAGCCTATTGATATATGTTGTCAAAATGCCTATCGCTACACTTTCTGCCATGAATAAGAGTGCCCTTTTTCCTCTAACTTGTGTCTACACCGAGTGTTATCATCGAGTGTTATCATCGAACACACACATGCTCACTTAATGTTGCCAGTTTGAAGGATGAAAAGTTATCTCCATATTTGTAAGCAACAGTGTATAAAGTGAAAGTTCCTGCTTTGTCATTCAATTCCGGATGTTAACTACTGTTAACCTCCTGTGGTTTTAATTGTTGACTGTTTCACTTGTTTTGGGTTTGGTTTTTTGCTTGCTTGCTTTTTTAAGACGGCCAAGATCTATTAGTTGCTTCTTGTTTTTACCTTTAGTGTCATGCTTTATCAAATCCTTTCTTGTGTCAATGTTATATATTCATCTATGTTATTTTCTGGTTTCGTTTTTTTAATTCACGTGCTAAGTTAATATCCAAATGTTTCATTCCAGTAAGTTTCAAAAACATTATAAAAGCAGAGGGAATATTTTAGTGAACTTTCATGTACCCATCTTCCAGCTTCCTGTTATCAACTGACAGCTGATCTTGTTTCACCTACACCCTCACCATTCCCCCTCCAATTATTTTGAAGCAAATCTAAGACATATCACTTTGGGTATCTCTAAAAAATAGGAACTCTTTATTTAAAAGATCTGTACATTTAAATATTTAATCCATTTGGAGTTTATTTTGGTGTTTAGTGTTATTTCAGGGATTGAATTTTATTTTTCTTTTCAAATAACTAGTTGCCCCGATACCACATGCTGAATAATTCATTCTTTTGTCCATTGATTAAAAGTGTTGCCTTAATAACATATTAAATTCTCATGTACTTGAACCTGTTTCTGGATTCTCTGTCCCATCGGTCTTTTTATCCTTTCCTAGATCATGATACTTGTGTTAGTTGATATTTTATGTCACATGAAACTAGAATTAAAGTTTTTTATTATTAATCTACCATGAGAACAAAACTAGTGGGAGATTACGAATATGTACTTAGTTAAGTAAAGATGTTTATAATAAGAATGTTTACTTTCTTTCAGCAATCCTTTAATGTGGAGAGCTGTGATTGGAACTAATAATATACATGGGCACCATCCTCATACCAAGAAGATAAACATTAAAACAATCATTATTCATCCAAACTTCATTTTGGAATCTTATGTAAATGACATTGCACTTTTTCACTTAAAAAAGGCAGTGAGGTATAATGACTATATTCAGCCTATTTGCCTACCTTTTGATGTTTTCCAAATCCTGGACGGAAACACAAAGTGTTTTATAAGTGGCTGGGGAAGAACAAAAGAAGAAGGTAATTATAGTCTGAATTTTACTGATACACATTTTCCTGATTCTGAGCAGAGGAAGGTCAAACCTTTTATACACAGTCACGTACCACATATGACATTTAGGTCAATGATGGACTGCATACATGATGGTGGTCTATAAGATTTTTTTTTTATATTTTTACTGAACCTTTTTTTAAATCTAGACAGAGTCTCACTCTGTTGCCCAGGCTGGAGTGCAGTGGTGTGATCTCAGCTCACTGCAGCCTCCACCTCCCAGGTTCAAGTGGTTCTCTTGCCTCAGCCTCCCAGTTAGCTGGGATCACAGGCATGCACCACCACACTTGGCTAATTTTTGTATTTTTAGTAGAGATAAGGTTTCGCCATGCTGGCCAGGCTGGTCTCAAACTCCTGGCCTCCTGTGATCCGCCTGCCTTGGCCTCCCAAAGTGCTGGGATTACAGGTGTGAGCCACCGAGCCTGGCCTTTCTGTGTTTAGATATACAAATGCTTACTACTGTATCACAGCTGTCTTCAATATTTAGTACAGCTGAACAGGTTGTAGCCTAGGAGTACCAGGTTATACTGTAGACCTTAGGGGTGCAGCAGACTGTGCCATCCAGGTTTGTGGACGTGCACTCTATTGTGGTTGCACAACAACAGAGTTGCCTAATGAGGTATTTCTCAGAATGTTCTCCATCATTAAGTGATGCCTGACTGTGTTTGTTTCTTTCTGTGTATTATCTTTTTATCACTTTATGCCATGAGATTGAAAAGTATTATAGGTCCTTATAAAACACTGAAAAAAACTTTTGGAGGGGCGGGTCTGTTTTTTTTTTTTTTTAACTTCTGGGAGAGAGAGAGAAAATTCTCTTCCAAAGCAGAAACAGAGACTTTCTCCGGTTGTACATGCCAAGATACTTGAACCTTAAGATAGAATGGTGGTTCCAAGTGTTTCTGTAGTTTGAACTCAGATTATGAAGCCAGCTCTGTGGCAGAATTCTCTCTTTTAAGCAAGACATTTCTGGCTATGAGGAATCATGTTTGGTTTCCTTTTAATTTATTTAATGCCTTATTTAGTATCAGGCAAGCTGATTGCGATATATATTTTTAGTGTACATAGGGGCACTAAATGTTAACTGACTGAACTAATGGGAGGAATAAAAAATAGATGACACAGTCTCTTTGTCTTTGTCTTTCCCAGCTACCATTTGGGAGAGTTTACCATGTTTCAGGCCCTGTTCTTGTTCTTGTTATTTAAAACACTTTTTTTTAGAGATGGGGGTCTCACTCTGTCACCCAGGCTGGAGTACAGTGGTACAACTGTAGCTCACTGCAGCCTCGAACTCCCAGGCTCAAGCAATTCTCCTGCCTCAGCCTCTCCAATAGCTGGGACTACAGGCACATAACACCACACCCAGCTTCTTAAAATATTTTATGTATGTATATATGTATGTTTATTTATTTATTTATTTAAAGATAGGGTCTTGCTCTGTCACCCAGGCTGGAGTGCAGTGGGAGGATCATAGCTCACTGTAACCCTGACCTCCTGGTCTCAAGTAATCCTCCTGCCTCAGCCTCCCAAGTAGCTGAGACTACAGGCATGTGCCATCATGCCCAGCCAATTTTTTCATTTTTTTGTAGAGATAGGGTCTTGCCATGTTTCCTAGGCTGATCTTGAACTCCTGGCCTCAAGAAATCCTCCTGCCTCAGCCTCCCAAAGTGCTGACATTACAGGTATGAGCCATTGTCCCCAACTTTTGTTTGTTTGTTTTTAGGAGACCGTCTTGCTGTGCTGCCCAGGCTGGTCTCGAACTCCTGGCCTCAAGCATTCCAGCTTCTTCAGTCTCCTGAGTAGCTGGGTTTATAGGCATGAGCACCATGCCTGTTTTAAATATACTCCTTTATCTTCTGCCCCCAATATGCCTAAAAGGGAGTTAATGTTATTTCCCCCTATTTAACAGACCAGGAATTGAGAATCTTAAAAGTTAAGAAACTGGGACTCAAATCTAAGTCTCTTTTATTCTAAAACCTGAATATTTAACAACTGCATCAAACTGCTCTTGAGGGAATCATAGTCCAGTTAGGAATATATGAGATTAAGTACTAAGACTCTTTTTTCTTCCTATTCCCCACAGACCCTAGCCATTTAAATATTTGTGGATTATTTAGCTAGGATATAGATAAACGTATGAAAGATCTGTGAATTATTATTTTTCTTTTTCCCATCTATGGATACTTTCTTAAGGAAGATAAGGAAAGCAACATGCTGTAGGGAACATAGGCTCTAGAATGACAGACCTAATTCTGAATCCCAGCCTGCCACCACGGGCTCGCTGAATGACCATGGGCATGTTTTTGACTCTTCAATAACAATTAGAACAGCAATAATAGAAGCCACTACCATTTGTTTAGGGCCAGGTACTTAATAAAATGCTAAGCATTGTAATGCATTATCTCATTTAATACCCCGGCAACAGTACAGAAAATACTACAAAATGAATGAGTAAAATAAAGCTTAAAGAGGTTAAATGAGTTGCTCAAACTAATAAAATAACCAAGTGATAAAGTCAGAATTCAAGCCCAGTTCTGCCTCTTGCAAAACGCATGTATTTCCACCATATGTGTGTGTGTGTGTGTGTGTGTGTGTGTGTGTGTGTGTGTCTATATATACATATATATATTTGAGACAGAGTCTCACCCTGTTGCCCAGCCTGGAGTGCAATGGCACAATCTCAGCTCACTGCAACCTCTGTCTCCTGGGTTCAAGCAATTCTCCTGCCTCATTTCCCAAGTAGCTAGGATTACAGGCACGTGCCATCACACCCGGTTAATTTTTTGTATCTTTAATAGAGACGGGGTTTCACCATGTTGTCGAGGGTGGTCTCAAACTCCTGATCTCATGATTTGCCCACCTCGGCCTCCCAAAGTGCTGGGATTATAGCCGTGAGCCACCACGCCTGACCTCCACTATATTATTAACATATCTTCTTTCACAATGTCATCCAGTTTCATGATCTGTTAAAGTATGAGCAATAATACCCCTCAGAGAGTTGTTTTGAGAATTAAATTAGTTCTCCAGCACCATGGTAGATTACATGCACATACCGAGCTCCCCACTGAAAACTATTAAAGAGGGAGATTACATAGGCTAAGGACTCGATGTTACAATGGAACTTAGGGAATTGGAACACAGAAGTTGACTTTCATCTTGAGAGTATTTGCCAAAAAGTTAACTTTTAATATTGATTTCAGTGGTTTCATGGGCCTTGGAAAGAGATGGTTAAAGAACAAAACTTGTCCATCTTGGGGAGTAGAGAAGACACTCCCATAAAGCTGGAGTCCCATAGCTATGCTTTAAAAATGAGTCAGACTCATGACCTAGCATATAATTCTTTTTTTTTTTTTTTTTAAAGAGAGAGTCTTGCTCTGTCATCCAGGCTGGAAGACAGTGGCACAATCTCAGTTCACTGCAACCTCTGCCTCCTGATTTCAAACAATTCTTGTGCCTCAGCCTCCCGAGTAGCTTGGATTACAGGGGTACACCACCATGCCCAGTTAATTTTTGTATTCTAATAGAGATGGAGTTTCACCATGTTGGCCAGGCTGATCTTAAACACCTGGCCTCAAGTGATCTGCCCACCTTGGCCTCCCAAAGTGCTGGGACTACAGGTGTGAGACACTGTGCCCGCCTTGTTCTTATATATACAGTATACTTCAAATATGATCTAGGTAGGTTGAAAAAAAGGGAGGGGAAAAATACACATGACTACATTAATCAAAAGAAAGCTGGATTACACCTGTAATCTTAGCACTTTGAGAGGCTAAGGTGAGAGGATTGCTTGAGGCCAGGAGTTTGAGACCAGCCTGAGCAACATAGGGCGACCTCATCTCTACAAAAATAAAAACAAAAAATTAGCCAGGTATGGTAGTTCAGATCTGCAGTTCCAGCTATGTGGGAGGATCGCTTGAGCCCATTATATATAGTTCATGATATTTAATGAACTATTTAATGATAGCACCACTTCACTCCAGCCTGGGTGACAGAGAAAAACCCTGTCTCCAAACAAAGAAAATAAGGTGGAATGGAAAACAGAAAAAGTAGGAATGCCTATATAAATGTCAGATAAAGTAGACTTTAGAGCAAAGACGATTACAAGGATGGTGAGAGACATTACATAATAATAAAAGGGTCAGTCCACCAAGAAGACATGGCAGTGCTAAACATGTATACACCAAACAACAGACATTCAGTTTTTTGTTTGTTTTTTGAGACAGAGTCTCCCTCTCTCACCCAGGCTGGAGTGCAGTGACACAATCTCAGCTCACTGCAACCTCTGCCTCCCAGCTTCAAATGATTCTCCTGCCTCAGCCTCCTGAGTAGCTGGGACTAGCTGGGCATGATGGCAGGTGCCTGTAGCCCAAGATCAAACCATTGCAACTCCAGCCTGGGCAATAAGAGTGAGACTCTGTCTCAAAAACAAACAAACAAACAAAACGAAACTCATTGAAGAAACTAGGTATCATATTAAACACAGCTAAAGAGAGGATTTATGAACTAGAAGATATATCTGGAGGATATACATCTTAGCACAGAGAGAAGAAAAGAGAAAACATGAAATAGGTATAAGGATAGAATGAGAAAATCTAACATCTAATGATAGTGTCAGAGAGGAAAGAATAAAGAAGATAGAAGAGAGGCAATATTCAATGGATTTGGGTTAAAATTTCTTAAAAACTGATGAAAGATGTGAATCCAGATTTTATATATATATATATATAAACATATTGATATAAACATAAAATATATATATATATATATATATATATATATATATATATTTTTTTTTTTTTTTTTTTTTTTTTTTTTTTTTGAGATGGAGTTTCACTCTTGTTGCCCAGGCTGGAGTGCAATGGCATGATCTCAGCTCTGCCTCTCAGGTTCAAGTGATTCTCCTGCCTCAGCCTCCTGAGTAGCTGTGACTACAAAATTAGCTATCATACCTGGCTAATTTTTTATTTTTAGT